ACAGAGGCTGTGCGCATCTGAGCACGCACATGTGCTTGCGCAGGGCAGCCGCACAGCACACGTGTGCGCGTCCACCCGGGGCCTGGCCAGCTCCCCCTCCGCATCTCCGAAGCCTTCTCTGTTGAGATCTCTTTCCTGAGGTGCAGGGGAGGAGGGCTGCACCTCTCTCAGTACCTCCAGGCCCCGCTCCAGGCCTGCCTGCTTTTTCTCTTCATTTTTCTGAGTCCGTCAGACTCCCTCCCTGTCTCTCCTCGGGACCTTGGTGCCCGAGTAGATCTCCCTCTGTGCTCCTTGCTCCTCAGTTCCTGAAGAGATCTTCGCCCACCCTGCCATCCAACACCCATCTCTGATCCCCTAACCCATGCCTCCTCTCTGTCGGTCCCCTCACATTCCCCCTTTCCAGGCCAAGGGCAAGGAATCTGGGCCAGCCCCCCTCCCCGCCCAGCCTTAAAAATAGCAGGAGAAATTGGGACGGACGCCGAGGGGGTGAGGGCGGGGGCGCGGCCCGAGGAGGGAGAAGCAGGTGTGTGGCCACTTACGTCCGTCTGGGGACCCTTCCCAGCGCCTGGACACTCGAAGGTCACGAATTCGTGGCATCGCCGATGAACCACAAAGCTGCAGACTAAAGGGGAAATACATAGAGACAGTGGGACAGAGAGACCCTGATGGACAGATGGACAGAGAATGTCAGCGAGGGAGGGGTCCCAGCAGAGCCAGAAGCAGAGTGAGAGGAGGAGACCAAGGCAGCGAGGAATGCAGGCAAAAAAATCGCCACTGACAGCCAGACACGGGCCCTCTTGGAGAGATCAGATCGCCGGCAGGCGAGGCAGACACAGCCAGCAGAGTGGCACGCTCAGGGCAGCAGTGAGTCTGGGGGTGCCGCCATCGGCCGCCCCCCCACCCTGACTCACTGTGCTCCCTGCAGTGGCAGCTGGTGCTTTGGGACTCGCCCCCCCTCTCCCGCCCCCCCAGAACCGCCAGCCGCCCGGCCCCACCCACCCATGGGTGACCCCACCCGGCCTGCCCCCAGCCTAGGACGGCTGGTGTCGTCATGGCGACTGCCGACAAGGGGGAAGGGGGAAGGGGGGGGACTCTGACTTTGCATCTCCAGCCCCTTCCCCCCACCCCCTTCAGTTCCCCTTTTCCAAATCTCTGTGTTCCCATGGCAACAGATTCTCCAAATATCTGTGCCCACCTGCCCGGCCCCACCTCCGCGGCGGCCCCACCATCGGAGCTGCCTCCCCACCACAGGCGGTGGCTCTGCCACACCCCCCGCCCCGGCTCCCCCGGGCCTCTCCGGGGACCGCAGAACACGTGTGTCAAGCAGCCGCAGCTCTGAGCCCCCGCATGCATCCACCCTCCCGGGGGTCCCGGGGGTCCCGGGGTCCCAGGCAGGCTCTTACCTTGACATTGAAGGCCCTGTTTGCCGATGCCCCTGCAAGAGTCACGGATGCAGGCTCAGGGCAGTGGTGGTCCTGGACCCCCACCCGTGCCAGCCACAGTGCATGCTCTGACCCGCTACCCACAGGGTCAGCCAGGCTGCGCCCTGGCCATCATCTCACACCTCCGTGAGTCCGGGACCCCGATATTCTCAGGGTACACCCAGGAAGGAGTCCAGGCTCCCAGACCCAGGCATCGGGGAACCCGAGGTGTTCTCCCCCACGTCCAGGACCCCAGCCTCCTCCCTCAGCCCCGGGAGCCCAGATCCTCCCCATTCTGGACCCCTGCGTCCTCCCCCTCACCAGATGAAGTCGGTGCAGTGGCTGCAGAAAGTGGGCTGCTTGAAGAAGCGGGCTGTGAATTTGTGGCTCTTGACCTCGTGGACCACCTTCTGCCTCAGGGCCCCCTTCCTGCAAAACAGGGGCCGGGGTCCGCCCTCCGAGTCGCCTCCGCCGGGGCCCAGACCTGCCATGGCCCCAGGGTCCTCCCTGCCTGGGGAAACAGGTGGGCGCGCGAGAGCTGGGGAACACTCCGCGGGTGCCGAGCGCGCCCGGCAAGCGCAGCCCCGGCGGCGGCTCCGCCAGGGGGAGCGGGCGGGCGGAGCGCGCGGTGCCGGAGGAGCCCGGGCACGGGCGGCGGGCGCTCCGGCTCCGGCACCTGCTCAAATGTGGGAGCCCCGGGTGCGGGTGGGGGGAGGCGTTGCCATGACGACCGAGGGGCGGGGTTTCGGCTTAAAGGCGCCCCCTCCCTCAGCGATGCGGAACCAACGCCCTCCCACCCCCCAACACACACACACACACACACAGACACACACACGCGTGCGCCCACCCGTTCTAGGGGCCAGCACCCGACCCTCTACCCACAAACTTGGCATTGGGGTCCAGTGCATTTGCGCGTGCACGGTAGCAGGTGTGTGTGTCTTTATGTCTATTTGTTTAAATTCTGTTATTGCCAACAGACGTGTCTAAAAGTTGCATATATTCAGGGCCCACGAGCTCGTTCCACCCTACCCACACCACATTCTGCCAGCCAGGGAGCTGGCAGCCTGTGCTGGGCTTTTCCACTTCTGTCGGCGGTGCTGAGGCCGACCAGGTCCCAGCTTTTTTCACAGCTGAGTAATATTCTGCTGCTGACCCAGGGCATTTTCTGTATCTCCAGTGAGTGGCCGCGGTGTCTGGGGTGCAGGTGGGCTCATGCCCCTCCGACGCACGCCCAGCCGCGGGACTGCCGGGTCTGACGGCAGCTTCTCTCTCTCCTACTCTCTGTAAATCTGCTTTCTAATCAAAATAAATACTTTTTAAAATATCGATGTATTGTTGCTTTGAGTTCCCTACATATTCCGGATGTCTGCTCCTCCCCCTTTCTCTGAGGGTCCTTCCCTGCTGCCCCTGACAGACTGAGGGGCTCCCTGCCCTGCCCCCCTTTCCTGCTCCTTCTCGAAGCCCGCCCCTCCCTGCCCGTCCTCCCTGCCCACCCCTCCCTGGCCCTGTCCCTCCCTCCCCGGCCCTGTCCACTTCTCCCTGTCCACCCTCCCTGACCCTGTCCGTCCCTCTCCGGCCCTATCTGCCCCTCCCTGGCCCTGTCCACTTCTTCCCGGCCCTGTCCACCCTCCCCGGCCCTGTCCACCCTCCCCGGCCCTGTCCACCCTCCCCGGCCCTGTCCGCCCCTCCCCGGCCCTGTTCGCCTCTCCCCGGCCCTATCTGCCTCTCCCCGGCCCTGTTCGCCTCTCCCCGGCCCTGTCCGCTTCTCCCCGGCCCTGTCCACCCTCCCTGACCCTGTCCGTCCCTCTCCGGCCCTATCTGCCCCTCCCCGACCCTGTCCGCCTCTCCCCGGCCCTGTCCGCCCCTCCCCGGCCCTGTCCGCCCCTCCCCGGCCCTGTCCACCCCTCCCCGGCCCTGTCCGCCCCTCCCCGGCCCTGTCCGCCCCTCCCCGGCCCTGTTCGCCTCTCCCCGGCCCTGTCCACCCCGCTCTCCGTCACTAGGCATCTCCCATGCCCTGTGTCTGTCTCCCCTCGTGGGCGTCTCTCTCCTCCGGCCCTTTCCCTCAGGCTCCGCGCCTCTGCACAGGTCGCCCCCCTCGGACTCGCCGAGCGCCCCTCTGTCACGTTCCTCCGGCCCGGGTCTCGGCCACGCGGCCATCCCCTGCGGCCTCCCAGTCGCCTCTGCCCCTTCCCGCTTGAGCCGGAGCCTCTTCGTTGTCACGGGCAACGGCGCCCGCCGCAGGCTGCGAGCGCAATGCGTGCTGGGACTTGTAGTCCGTGTCTGACATGGCTGCTCTCCAGACCCGTCAGAGAACTTTCCACAGCGGCACCGGGGGCTCTGAACGCCCCACCATGCCCTTTCTCTGGGATATTCGTGAATTGGGGATTCTCAAGTTGAAGGGGAGCTGTGGAAGAGTCTGAGTGGTCCCTGAAGCGTGGGGTCTTCTGGCCTTGCGGCCACCTCCCAGCGTCTGTGGCACTCGGAGGACATGAGAGCTGGGGTGTGAGGTGGCCGGCAAGCTGACCTGGGCATTCCACCGCGTTCTAGCCCCGATCCTGGCGGATTCCTTGCCAAGTCACCAATATGTCACTCCCCAGGGTTCTAGAACTGTCCTTTCTGAGGCCTTCCAGAAGGTTCGAGCCAGCACGAGGATAGGGGTGCATGACCCAAACGCCCTGGGGAAGCTGAGAACTGAGACAGAGGCCAGCTCTGGGATGGGCACGGCGGAGAGAAGAGGTGGAGGGCTTTTGTTTGCCCCGATCAGCCCCGGCTGCTCCTCACCTGCCCGTGGGTAGCTGCTGGAAGGGGCTGGTCACTGCCTGGTGGACGTGAGGGTTTGTGCAGGCGACTGACAGCAGGTGGAACTCACTCCGGCTCTGCTGTCAGCCATGGGGGGGTCAGGCACACAGATGGAGTCACTGGCGGGAAATCGGGCAGAGACCCCCGGCCCGGACCACGCCTGAGATGGAGGGGCAGGACCAGACTCACATGTTGGTAAAATCCCTCCTGGGGCCCAAGGTGGGCTGGACATGGGTCATAAGCGGGGGCACAGGCTGGGCAGTAGCCGAGGTGCCGTAAGGTCCAAGTTGAATCAGACCAGACATCCGGGAAGGGAAACGGCATTTCCAAGCGGGGAAGAGTGAGGAGGGGAGCTAAGAGGGCTTGGGGTCACAGCTCTGAGGTCAACACTGAATGACCTAAGACGGCGGGCGCCGTGGCTAGCTCGCCGTGGCTAGCTCGTGACACCACCGCCTGCAGGGCACGCATCTCTCGTTCAAGTCTTGAGTCCTGGCTGCTCCACATCCGAGCCAGCTCCCTGCTAATGCTACTGGCAAAGCAGCGGAGGACGGCCCGCGTGGGAGACCTAGAGGAAGCTCCCGGTTCCTGGCTTCCGCCCCGCCCAGCCCAAGGCCTCGCAGCCATCTCTCAGTAGTTCTGACTTGGATAGACCTTTTCTTCTTTCTGAGCGGCTTCTGGGACCCTCTTGCTCCGATGAGGGCGAGACTGCCTTCCTCCACCAGACCCAGAAAGCTGGCCCGTCTCCCGCAGCTGGCCCCAAGAACACAGCACACGCCAACCTGTTTTTGATCTTTGAGTTTTTAAAAATAAGAACATGATGGATGTGGGGGTGACGGAGGATGGGAGGGACACGGCTTTTCTCTATGACCGACAGTAGGAGCCACGGGAACCGAGAGCTCCAGGGAATTAAAAAAAAATAAAATATATATTTATACACTTATATATATATATATATGTCACGTTATGCATGTGAGAACCCGAGAAGCAGGCAGTGGCGGCAGCAGCAAGAAGCGACTAGCACACACACGCGCGCATGCAAGCGACGACAGCCACTCCTTCGCATGCCAGCAGCCCCCCATGCCTGGCCCCCCACCCCACCCGACCCGAAGCACAAATTTCCTGAACAGGGCCACCCTACTGCTCGCCTTAGCCACCAGGCAAGGAAGGAAGGCAGGCGGAGGGTGCCAGCATGGTCACCCGCTCACCGACCCTACCAGGCTGTGACCTTGACACTGAGGCTGCAGGGCCACACCCCTGCCCCCCCACGAGTCCTGCAGACCATGCTTTGTGGAGAGCACACCAAACAGCAGGGAGACAAGGCAAGCTCCAGAGTCTCCCCAGCCCCGTCCCCAGCCTCCTGTAAGGCAGCCTCTAGGCAGTGGAATTTTTCTTATAATAAACCTTGGCAAAAATGTCTGGAGTCAATTGCAGGCAAGGCTGAAGTCTGCGCTTGAGGTCTCCCGCCCTCTGGGAATTATTGGTGACCAGATTTTTTTAACTTAAAGGGGAGGTACAGGGTACACCCTTCTCCCCTCTCCCCAGCAGAGAGGGGGGCTAGATTCCTAGCGACCCAGCCAGCACCCCTCCCCAAACACACACACACACACACACACACACACTAAGGCACAGCTAGGGCGGGCAGGCATGCTTTGGCAATGAGCCCCCAGAGGAGGCCAGTGGCATGAAGAGCAAGACGGGTGTGGGGCCTGTGGAACTCAGCACCTTTGGAGGTGGGGTGAGGGGAGGGGGGGGGACAGAGAAACCCCCAGGGCTCCAGAGGGAACAGGAGGGCAGAGAGGGGAGGGAGACGAGAGAGAAGGCAGCTTCACAGTGGGATGGTGAGCCACCCAACAGGAAGGAGAAGGGGCAGAGAGAACAGGAAGGGCAGAGGGGGCAGAAAGTTGGCTGGAGACGGCCCTGGGGGGCCCCCGGCAACGACGGTCAGACCTTGACGAAGACCAGGCGTGCGGAGTAGACCAGGTCGGCCACGTAGGCCAGCAGGTTGACGGCCGTGAGGATGGCCACGGCCAGGCGGCGGTCCCAGGGGCACACGTAGTGGTTGTGAGAGTAGCCACAGCTCACGTCCCTGGCGCGGCGCGGCTGGCCGCCATACTTCTCATCGAACTGGTAGAGGGGCCAGAGGACCAGGGCTGTGGCATAGAGCAGGACGGAGAGCAGGGCCAGCCCCGACAGGAAGCTGGGGAAGGGGATGGGCAGCATGTTGGTGCAGTCACCCAGGTTGAGCAGGATGGCCACGGCCGCCAGGATGAAGCAGATGGCGTAGACGGCCACGCACCACTCCAGGGCCGGCTGGTGCTGGTAGAGTTCGGGGCCGCTGATGAAGGTGAAGATGACGCAGGCCACGAAGGTCTCCAGCACCTTGAGCAGCCCCGGCACGGTGGCCATGTAGCCCGTGATCTCACCGGGCCGTGCCCGGGTCCAGGCCACCTCGGTGGCATAGGCCAGGCAGGCGACGCAGGAGAAGGTGGTGGCAGCGATGGCGTGGTCCCGGGAGCGGCCGTGGGGCATGAACTGCACGAAGGTGGTGGGGTAGATGATGGAGGCCGAGAGGCAGAAGAGGGCGGCGTAGCAGGCGTACGTGATGGGGAAGTTGCGCCAGGACAGGGGGAAGCGGGCTTGCAGGCCGCACAGCTCCACCAGCAAGATGACCAGGGTCACGGAGAAGCAGAAACACCACGTGAACATGGACCAGTTGCCCATGGGCCCGTACCAGGCGTTCACGCTGGCCACGAGCGAGAAGGCGATGCAGGTGGACAGCAGCTGCAGCAGACGCAGGAGGCCCAGCGGCTGCATCAGTGCCCGCGGCGAGCCCACGATGGTGGAGGACCCCAGGCCCGAGGACGACGACGTGGTGGTGGTGGTGATGGTGGTACGGGTCACCGTGACCGGCATGGCTGGGGGAAGGGAAGGGACAGGTGCTGCTCAGGGCCGGAGCATGCAAGGCCAGGGCTCTGGCCAGTGCCGGGCTGGCACAGGGTGGGGGACCCGGGATGTGCCTCCTTCCATCAGACCAGACACCCTAGGCTGCCCTCTCCCTGTCCCCAACCACCAGCAGTTCACAGAGAAAGTCCCTTCACCACGTGTCCCTGGTCAGCTTCCTCCCTGGAGGCCTCGGGGTGGTGAGTGTCTGGGACCCTGCGCCTGGACTTCCCTCAGGATCCTGACCTTGACCCCGCCTGTATGCCCCCTCCAGAGCGCTGCCTGACCTTTAGGGACTCAGACTGCCCATGACCTGCTGTCTCCCCCTGGGGACTCCTCCACCCTGCCTGGTCTCAGCCGCAAACCTAAACCCTAAGAGGCCACGTCTTAGCCAACTTCCTTCTTCCAGTGCCAGGCACACAATGGACAAAATAACAGCCCAGACCCGCCTTTCTCAAATTCGGCAGGCTGGCCAAGGGACGACTTCCCCATAAAGCCCAGCCCTCCTCCCTCACTCCCAGGGGTCCAGCCCAGCCCCTCCTCCCTCACACCCAGGGGTCCAGCCCTCCTCTCTCACACCCAGGGGTCCAGCCCTCCTCCCTCACACCCAGGGGTCCAGCCCCTCCTCCCTCGCACCCAGGGGTCCAGCCCCTCCTCCTCACACTCGCGCCAGGCCCCCTGTGCGCTCACCGGCGGTCTTAGCAGAGGCCCAGCTGAGAAGTGTCCGGCGGCCCAGAGGCGGCGGCGATGCTCACACACCCTGGATGGAGCAGCTGTTGCACCTGAGGGGAGGGATACGACGTCAGTATCCAGTTCCTCCCTCTGGCGCCCAGGGCCCCGGAGGAGGAAGATCCGGTCTCCACACTGGCGCTCGCGGCGAGGGCGGGTCTGGAGAGGGGCGGGCGCGCGAGCGCGGGGCCGGGCTGGCCGGGCGAGGCCGTGCGCGCAGCAGCTGGCGCGGGTCGGCCCAGGGCGGCGGCTGCGGAGGCGGGATTCTCGGCCAGGCCCGGCGCCTCCGTACCTTATAAGGCCTTGGGTCGGCTCGGCCGGCGGAGGCGGGCCCGGGACCCCCGGCCTGCGCGGGCTTCGGGGTGGGGGCCGGGTCCCTGGAGGCGGGGAGCCCGAGGTTCGCAGCCCACACTGCGTGATTGCGCGGCGCGCGCCCCGGCGAGGGCCTGCGGGAGGAGGGGCTGGCAGCGGGGGACCCCCACCCCACGGCCGGGGAGCCCCGATTGCGCGGCCAGGGGACGGGCTTGCGGGCCACGGGGCGGCGCGCATGGGACGCTCCGCCCGCCGTCCGCGGGCTCGGGCCGCCGCCTGAAGTCAGAGCTCAGGAATGCTGCGGGCAGGGCGCGCGCCGCGGGAGGAAGCCCGCCTCCGCCGCCCTCGCCCACCGCACGCCCCGACCACACCCAGCCAGCCGCCCGGCGCCCGCCCCGTCCCCGGGGTCCCCTGGAAGGGGAGGGGTCGGGAAGGCCGAACCGGGGACCCCCAGCTCCAAGCAGCTCCCTTGCAGGGTGCCACAGCCCAGCTGCTGCCACCTGGCATCTGGGAGTCCCCGTGCCCTCAGGCTAGGAGTGCGCACCCAGCCCCTCCTCCCTCAGACCCCGGAATGCGGACCCCAGCCCCTCTCCAAGACCCCTAGAGTGCAGACCCCAGCCCCTCCTCTGCAAGACCCCCAGAGTGCAGACCCCAGCCCCTCCTCTGCAAGACCCCCAGAGTGCAGACCCCAGCCCCTCTCCAAGACCCCCAGAGTGCAGACCCCAGCCCCTCCTCCCTCAGAACCCAGAGTGCGGACCCCAGCCGCTCCTCTTTGAGACCCTGGAATGCGGACCCCAGCCCCTCCTCTGCAAGACCCCCAGAGTGCAGACCCCAGGCCCAGCCCCTCCCTTCCCAGACCCAAGAGGCAGACCCCAGCCCCTCCTAAGACCCCGGAGTGCAGACCCCAGGCCCTCCTTCAACCCTGGAGTCCAGTCCCAGCCCCTCCCTTCCCAGACTAGAGGCAGACCCCAGCCGCTCCTCTCCATGACCCCAGAATGCGGACCCCAGCCCCTCCTCTCCAAGACCTCCAGAGTGCAGACTCCAGCCCCTCCCTCAAACCTTGGGGTGCAGACCCCAGCCCCTCCCTTCCCAGGCCCTAGAGGCAGACAGACCCCAGCCCCTCCTCAGACCCAGCTCCTTAAACCCTGGAGTCCAGCCCCAGCCCCTCCCTTCCCAGGCCCTAGAGGCAGACCCCAGCCCCCTCTTCAGGCCTGCGACCTGTGTGAGTACAAGTCGCCAGCCGCGCCTAGCACCGAGCCCTGGAGTCCTGGCCCAGCCTCTGTCTTTCTAGGGATGCAGGCGCTCGGATTGCAGCCTCCCCCGCCCCGCCAGCCTCCATCCCGGACCCGGGTCGCGGCTCCCCACGCTGCGGACCCCAGCACCCTCAGCTCACCGGGCGGCGGTGGCTGCGGCCGGAGCTACGCGACAGCTGCGGACCAGCAGGGTCTGAGGGCTGGGTGGGGTCGGCGGGCTGGGGAGACCGCGCAGGCGGGGCCGGGGGCGGGACCGGACACCCCCGAGCCCGGGGCTGAGACCACGCGAAGGGATAGCCCCGAGCCTGGGCTATCCCCAGCCCGCCCCGAGGCGGGACCGAGGCTGGACCCCACCCCTGAGGGATCATCGCCCGACCTTTCAGGGGGGTGAGGGGGAAGGGATGTGGTGGGCTGAGGTCACCGTTGTCGTGGTGACCAAACAGGAAGACACAACAGCTGGCGCGTTGGGGGCTCCCGGGGCCTCGGAGACGCCTCCCAGGGAAGGCCGTTGTCATGGAAACCCGCATGTTTAGGATTTGTTTGGGATGCAGCCCCCTGGGTCGCTCCGGCTCCGGCTCCCTCTGGGAGGGGACAAGGCGGGGGAAGCCGGGACGCCGCCGATCGGAGCCTGTGCTCCCGGCTTGGGCTCTGTCCTTGGGCCCCCGGGTAGAGGACGGAGAGGAGTGTCCATGCCCCTCCCCGGGGCCTCATTCCAGCAGCTGCAAACCTTGGCCTCTGGGGGACCCGCAGCGACAGGGTCCTCGCAGTCGGGAGCCTCCCGGGTCCCGCAAACCAGGCTCTTTTGGTGGAAGGAGAGGGCATAGCTGGGGAAGGGCCCGGGGTGCTTGCGGGCGGACGTGGGCCTCCGCGGGCCCGGCTGCTGTGGAGGCCAGCGCTGCGGCCTGAGGACGCATCGCGTAGCCCAAGGCTGGGAGGGACACGGGTGGAGGGAAAAAAACCCCACAAAACACTGGAGCCGGTCCCCGGCGTGGGCAGGGCGGGCACCCGGACGCCAGGCTCCCGCCCGCCGTCCCCAGGGCGCGCGCACTCACCGAGCTCCGCAGAGGTCCCGGGCGCCGCCCTGCTCGCCGCGGCCGCCGGGGCGGAGCCTGCCTATGCTCGGCCACGCTCAGGAACGCTGCTGCCGTGGAGCACCTGCGCAGCCCCAGGATGGGAGAAAGGCTGCTCCGGACTGGGCTGGGCTGGGCTGGGCGCGGCCAGGGAGGGGTTGCAAGGGGACCCCCGAGACGCACAGGGCTGTGCACAGGAGCTGGGGTCCTGGGCAGCTGGGGTTGGTGCTCTGAGGTGCGGGAGGCTGGCCACCTGGGCCGGTCTGCGGTGGATCCTCCCCAGGGCTACGTCTCAGGGTTGTGCTCTTTGCCTCCTCCAAGGCCCCTCATGTCCCAGGCGGTAGGACTCTGCCTGACCTTCCCGTGGCATGCCCCAAGTAGCCCAAAGCTGAGCTGCGCTGGCGGCCTGCTGCCTGGTGCAGGCACTCTGGAACCCAGCAGAACCCTCAAGGAGGCAGGACCGGAGGCAAACATTTGCAGAATGAGTCACTGGGGACGGACGAGGTGGGGGAGACGGCAGCTTTGTGGTCCAGCACCGTTGGAAGCGCTCCTGGTTCAGTGTTTATCTGACCTGGGGGCAGACACACCCCGCGCTGGCCCTGGACCCAACTCTCAAACAGGTTGCGTCTCTGTTCTTGGAGGCTGGAAGGGGGCTGGTGGCAGGGGCCAGGCAACCTCCTCCGCTTCTAGAGACACTGAGGGCCTGGCCCAGAAGCCATTTCGGGTGGCCGGCGTGGTGGTAAATGCGTCCATTCAGTGCCCACACAGAGGCTTCTGTCTGCAGGAGGGGCAAAGGGCAAGCAAAGCAAACAACAAGCCAAAACCGACTGCCCCATCGGCGCTGGAGGGCATCCAGGGTGGCCTGGAGCATTCCGGGGACCGCGCTGACCGTGCAGCAGGTGGACTCCCTGTTGGCAGGCCCTGGGAGGCCAGGCTGAGGCTGAACAAGGGCACAGTGTGGTCGTCTGGCCTGCTCCTGAACTTGGGCCAGTGCCCACGTGCAATGCCAGCATCGTGCAGCGCCACGATGATACCAGGCCCCCATTCGGATGCTTTATCAGCTATGACCTGAGTCAGAACAAAACAGGTGTGTGTCTCTCTGCTTCCTGCCTGCTTTGTCATGACTTCCTGCGTGAAGTCTTATCGCTGACACATCGCGCCCACGCCGACATCTGTGGTTATGGAAGGAACAAGCTTCCTGGACTGTGCTCTGCCCTCCCCCCTCCGTGACCCCTCAAGCCCTCAAGGTCAAGGTGAGGATTTAGCCACTAGGCTACCATGATGGGCCCAACCTCCTGTCTTTATGTCACCTGCTCTTATGGGTGTGTTGCATCTGTCTCAAATGCCTTTTCATGCCCACAGTTAGGACATTTCTCACCGGGTCTAGGACCCTCCAGGCAACTGCTGGGGCTGGAGCAGGCCAAGGCCGGCAGCCAGGGACAAGCACCGGGTTCCCAAGGGGCTGGCTCCGTCACCCGTTGCCCCCCAGGTGCGTTAGCAGGCGTGGAGAGCAAGCACTAGAAGCAGCACTGCTGTACGCGCCTGGGCTCCTCGCCGCTGCCTCCAGAGATGCGTCTCTCGCTGTCTCTCTTCAGAGATGCTCGCTGTCTGCTCTCCCAGCTCGGCCACAATCAGCAAGTTCCTCCCCCTGTGAAAAGCGATTGGTGGGGGGCTTCCTTCTGCCTTTGTGGAGCCGTTTCACTCTCTTCCACAAACCCTGGGGTCTGCGGACTTGCACTGGGGGCTGTGAGTGGGCTTCCGATCGTGCGCATGTTTCGGTCCCGAGGGCATGTGGAGGGGAGGCGTGGGAGGGGCACAGGCTCGCCTGGTGTGCCTGTGGGTCATAGCTGAGGGTCTCGTGCACACACTTGTGTCCTAGGCAAATGGAGAGGTGAGGTCCCAGACCTGCACACGTGCCACAGAGCCGTGTCTGCAAACTCAGCGATGAGTCTCTTGGGCAGGCAGAGCTCCAGGCCAGCATGCCACCCCACCAGAAGACTGGGCTGGGGAACCCATGGTCTCCTGGGCACAGGGGCGTGGATGGCTCAGGGAAGGGGGAACGGGCATGTGAGGGAGGGAGGACCGCAGAGGGAGCAGGTTGCAAGGCACGGGATGACTTCTGGGAAGTCCACTGACAAGGCCGCTGTGCTTGCAGGTGAGCAAGGGGGCTGAGGCCGAGCGGTGCGGAAAGGGGAAGCTGGAGGAGCTTTCTGGATCAGACCGCTGCATCTGCCCGAGTCGGAGAGCTGAGCTGGGCCAGTCGGCATCAACCAGCACCCACGGGTACACACAAGTCCAGGGCTAGGGACCCACCTGGCAGGGCTAGCTCACAGCCCCCGCCAATGAGCGCTGGAACAGGGGACGGTCACGTTAGGCTGGGCTGTGACACTAGCCAGCATTCGAGAGAACGTGGTCTAGGGGCATATTCTGTGGGAGGATAATGGGCCCACCTCTGCAGAGCTGCAGTTCCCACTGGTTTGCTTAAGAGCTGGGGGTGGTGATGGGCTAAGCTGGGCAGAGCCATGGACCCCTCTGACACTCATGGCTACTGGGATAAAACAGGCCAGCCTGGTACGGGCTGCAGCACCCATGGGCACCACCAAGAACAGGGTGTGGGGCAGGCTGGGCTGCAACATTCGCCAGCTCACACAGAGGCTAGATGGAGGTGACAGACTATGCCAGGCCTGGCACATGTGAGATCTGGCCCTGGGAGTGAGCCTCGTGGAGGAACTCGCCTGGTGGGCCGTAGCCCCCAGTAGCGGGCATGTGACCGATGCCTTGGTGTTGGTCAGGCCAACATGGTAATTACACCTGTCGGCAAGTGTGTGCGTTGGTTCTGGGGGGAGGCTGAGTGGGCAGGCCTAGGACAAGCTTAGCTTCCTGCATGTGTAGGGGCCAGGCTGAAGTGCAGCTCATGCTGGGCTAGGCTGTCACACCAGCCAGTTTGTGAGAGCCGGGGATGGAGCCAGGATGGGCAGGGCTGGACTGCAGCACCCACCAGCGAGAGTTGGGACCGGGAGTGGGTTGGGACGAGCCAGGTTGCAGCATCCAATGGCAAAGGCCAAGACGGGCGATAGGGTATTTGAGCAGAGTCAGAACAACTAGTGGGGCACACGAGACCTGTGACTGGGAACTAGCCTGAGTGGGGAGCAAAGGGGACACCCTGGCTGGTTGTGGTTCCCACTGAGGAGTGCAAGAGCTGAACGGGGGGTGGCCTGGACATGCCTGCAGTGTCCCTCAGCATAGGACTGGGGTGTACCAGCCTGGGTTAGACTCAGCACCCGGTGGTGCTTGTGAAAGCCAGGGAGGGTAACGGAGAGGCTGGGCTGGGTCTCACCACCTGCTGAACCACAGGAGAGCTGGTCTTGGCGTAGACCAGTGTGCCCGGGCTGTAGCACCCGACAGTAAGAACCAGAAGGGGCATATGCCAGTTGGGCAAGGCCACTGTTCCTGCCAGGACAGGAGGTGGACTAAGTCCGGGCCAAGGACCCACCAGTGGGAGCGAGATGTGCCACTGGGGGGAGGCCTGCTCGAGGAGCTTGGGGAACTCCTTTGTCAGGGTACAGTCCCTACAGGTGAGCATGCGAACCAAGGCAGGAGCAGCCCAGACCAGGCCAGGTGAGCAGCCCAGACCAGGCCAGGTGAGCAGCCCAGACCAGGCCAGGTGACAGCATCTGCCACGTACCACAGGGGCAGGCCAGGCCGGGGCAGTTCATAACACCCACGGCAGATGTGGGAACCAGGATGGGGTGCAGGGCAGGCCAGATTGGGCCACGGGACACCAGCCAGTTCGTGTTAGGGCTGGGACTAGGGGCTGGCTGCACTGGGCTGGGCTGCAGCCCCACCAGCATGAACTGAGGGCAGACCAGCTCGGACCAGGCTGGGCTACAGCACCCACCGACACGTGTGAATAGAGGGGAGCACGGGGGCTCCTGCTGAGCCACCGCTCCCACTGGTGAGTGTGAGGACGGGGAGGGGGCAGACCAGGCCGGGCAGGGCCACCTTGTTGGCCTGCATGGGAATTGGGTTAGCGAAGGAGCCAGGCTGGGCTCACCAACTGATCCCACTTGCAGAGGTCAGAGTAAGAACAAGCTGGTTGCGCTTTGCTGCAGGACCAGCTGGCAAGTGCTGGGACTGAGGGCAAAGCCTGTCAAGTTAGAACCACCTGGAGAGCAGAAGGCCAGGACTGCGATTGGGCCCAGCAGAGAAACTGTGGGTAGCTCTCTGATGGATTGCACCTCCCACTTGTGAGCATTAGAACCAGGTTTGGGGGCCCGGTACGGTGGCCTAGCAGTCAGAGTCCTCTCCTTGCACTCACCAGGATCCCACAAGAGCACCGGTTCTAATCCCGGCTGCTCCACTTCCCATCCAGCTCCCTGCTTGTGGCCTAGGAAGCCAGTCGAGGGCAAACCAAAGTTTGGGACCCTGCACCCACGTGGGAGACCTGGAGGAGGTTCCCAGCTCCTGGCTTTGGATTGGCACAGCTCCAGCTGATGTAGCCGCTTAGGGAGCGTGTCAGCGGACGGAAGCTCTTCCCTAGTGTGCCTGCTGCCACGCCCGAGTGTGCCTGCTGCCACACCCGAGTGTGCCTGCCTGCTGCCACGCCCCGAGTGTGCCTGCCTGCTGCTTGCTCCGCGCTTGCCCCCACTCCAGAGTGCTCCTGGGAAAAGCCACCGGCATGGCAGCCCTTCCCGTTCACCTACGGCACAGACTAAATGTCCCTAATCCCAAATATTTCCAAACCAGAACCCAGACCGATGTGGTGGGTGAAAAGTCACACGCGGACACACAGTGCTTCATGTATTAAACTGTTGGAGGCATTGTGAGGGCCCCATGCGGTAGCCTAGTCTCTAGTCAGCTTGCATCTACCAGGATCCCAGATGGGCACCAATTCATGTCCCAGCCGCTCCACTTCCCATCCAGCGCCCTGCCTGTGGCCTGGGAAAGCAGTGCAGGATGGCCCAAAGCCTTGGGACCCTGCACCCTTGTGGGAGACCTGGGAGAGGCTCCTGGCTCCTGGCTTCAGATCAGCTCAGCTCTAGCCATTACAGCCATTTGGTGAGTGAGTCAGGGGATGGAAGATCTTTTTCTCTGTCTCTCCTTCTCTTTGTACATCTGCCTCTCCAATAAAAAGAAATAAATTTTTAAAAAGAAACGTTGTGTCATGTTGCCTTCGGACTGTGATGCAGTGTGGGTGCGTGAAGCAAAAGTGAATTTTGTACTTAGATGTAAGTCCTCTCCATCAACATTGTTATGCATTCATATGCGAAGAAAAAAAAAAAAGCAAGCAAGCAAACAAAAATAACCCACCAGAATCTGACAAAAAGGAAAAAATAAATAAATAAATACCAACCGGAAATCTGAAGCCCTCTGTTTACCCCGTGCACTGTTTTTGTCCTCAGCTTTGGGCCTTCTCCACCCTTTCATTTTCAGCCACTGACCCATGTTCTTTGTTCAGACACAAAACAGAAACCACAGCTGGGGAGGTGTGCCCAGGCTCCCCGGTGGGCTGGCCTGCAGGGCTGTCCAGCAGGAGAGGACCCCGCATGTGCCCAGGCTCCCCGGCGGGCTGGCCTGCAGGGCTGTCCGGCAGGAGAGGCGGTTCTCATCCCAGGCAATGTCCCCTGACCTTGGTGACGCATTGAGACCTGTTCCTTCCTGCAACTTTACTTCTGCTGTTACTGTCCCTCTCTCTTCAAACAGCCCACGCCTCCTACTCAGAGAACATTTCATTGGCTTTTTGGAAATTCCTTCAGGGAGCCGGCACCGTGGCGTAGCACAGGCCAGGCTCTGCCTGCAGCGTCCATTCCCAATAAGAACACTGGTTCGGGTCCCAGCTGCTCCTCTTCCCATCCAGCTTCCTGCCTGCAGCCTGGGAAAGCAACAGGGGGCGGCCCAAAGCCTTGGGACCCTGCATCCGCGTGGGGGACCCAGTTCCTGGTTCCTGGCTCTGGATCAGCACAGCTCCAACCATTGAAGCATCTGGGGAGTGAGCTAGTGCGTGGGAGATCTTTATTCTTGCTCTGTAACTCTGCCTTTCAAATACAAAATGAAAAATTTAAAGCCTAAATTTATAAACATAAAAAGAAATACATTTGTGGCCTGGCTTTTGATCTGGTGGTTAAGATCCGTGTATCTCTCTCTCTCTCTCTCTCTCTCTCACACACACACACACACACACACACACACACACACACACACACACACACGTCATGCTTCCTGGGTTTGCCTTTCAAATAGGCCACTGGGCCGGGCCTGACTCAGACGTGCTTTTCAGATCCCCTTTGGCTCCCCTGCTACTTGTGCCAATGTGGCTTTGCACAGCGCAGTGAGCGCCCTCGGGGTCTCCAGGAAGCGGCACCAAGGGGTCCTGTGTCACCAAGCAGCGTGTGTACCAACAGCGTTCCTGGCAGCTTCCAGGGCCTCCTGCTCAGCTGTGTGGGGAGTCTCTGCCTCGCTAGTGCAGGACGCTTGCAATGAGCGAAAGGCGAGTTCACCAGAGGAGCTTCCTGTCCCGCCAGGGGATATTCCGAGACCAAGCGGATCCCACACCCCAAGCGTATATAACTATGATACAAAGGAACTCACGGGGCCTGCATTGTGGCAGGCAGTGATTCTGTCTCGCGGGTTCGAGTCCCAGTTGCTCCACTTCGAGTCGAGCTCCTCACTGGTGTGTGTGGGAAAGCAGCGGGCGGTGCCCCCAGCGTTTGGGCCCCCCGAGTGTTTGGG